GACGTCGGACAAATTCTCACGAATTCGTGACGCAATCGTGAGTCAGAGTAAATTTTTTTTTTTTTTCATCGATATTTCCTCCTCATTTTTTCGTCGATTGTGTGAGGGTATATTTACGGAAAGTTGAAATTTTCATCGGCGACTGCGGCGGCCGAGCGGATGGGGTTACGCATGGTCGCTCAGCCTGAACAGTCCACCGGCTGAATACTATCGTGACGTCACTCGCTACGGTCACTGCCTGAATTATTCAGTATTCCTTCGTTTCTAGTTGTTCGACGATGCCGCGTGCAATCTCGTACGAAAGTTTGTTTTTACGTGCACGTGGCGTAGTAGTAACTGCGCCGTTCTATCGTTTCATCTTCTCGCGACAGGAACTTTGACGATGAAAGCGAGAGCCGCATTGAAATCCATTCATTGCGGCCTCTTGCTGTAGAATTTTCGAAATTAATACCTCCGGAGCTGAGGAATGGATTCACCGATGAACCCACTTGATTATAAATTTCTTTGTCAAAAATGTCAAACGATTCAACTTTCTTTAAGTTACGTCCTGCAAATTTGGATTATTCTTTATTCTAAAAAATATAGATATGAATTCCCACACAGGATACTTTATTCGAGATCCTGGAAATGTTTCTAGGACGTCTTCCGGATATTTTTGAAGATGTCCTTTAGAAATTTGTGCTGTTATGGGTTTAACATCACTATGTGATGTTCATTTCCGACACCAACTAAAAAGTAACATAATCTAATTTCGCACTTAACAATGTAACTTATGTAACACCCTATGTTATATTACATTTATATTTATATTTTATGTTGAGTGCAAAATTACAACATAAATGTTATGTTATTTTTAGTTGATTTGTTACTTTTAATTGATGTCGATATAAACTAAAATGTGTTTAAAATTTAATACTATAGATTAAAATCTATGGTGTTAAATCCATCCGTAGTTTTTAAAAATATTATTAAAATAAACTTAGTATTTTATTATTTATTCCTTTTTGGTTGTATTATGGGATTCAGACGATGGTTATTAATATGTAACTAGTGCCAATGATTTACTCAACGTATGCAAATATTAAAGTCTTTTATTACTGAGCGCGTTAACAGACTTCACGCGATAAGAGCCAGAGGATAAGTAAGTGTCGCTCTTCTCTCTTGATTGTTCATTCGACCCGGAGAAAACGATTTGTTTACTCGAATATTCTAGAAGGTTTCAAATATACAATTTAAAATATACGCAATCTAGTGATCTAATTTTCTTAGCGCGATGCAGCGGTTGCATCTCATTTCCTTAACAAGTTACATAGTATTGCGCGCTCGACTTATTGTCGGACTATTTAATACTATTCCGATAAATAGATGTGATTTATATCGTCTCTAATTATTACCTACTTTTCGTTGCCACTGTTTACGCTCGTCAATATACTGTCTCGTGACTGTCTGTGTTGTCCTTTTTCTTTCTTTCGCTCAAACAGCTGAGAAGCCTTCACACGAACTAATACGTAGTATCTCTTTGCGAATTCCGTATATATAATACTATTCTTTTACTTGAGATAAGAAACTGTCATTTATATTTGACTTGCAGCTAGAATAGTGGTGATAAATTCGCCACACTTTTTTATACGAGTTATGATGTTATTTTAGTTTCTCGCAATTAATTAATTAGTGCCTTTTAATTAATATAAATGAATAGATCTTAAGCTCATTCTACAAATCGTCGAATATTACACAGAATATTCTTTTCGACTATGATTGATCCATTCTAACTACAATCACGTACAATTACGCAATTGTAAAATAGGCTTTGCAAATCCAGTCAGTAATTGTATTACAGATTTTGGTGTTAGTTCTGGAAAATTAAAGATGCGGGGTTTCTCGTTAATTGGAAGCGCTCCGACAATTCTACAAAAACTAACGGTATTGTGAATTGCAAAAGCGAGTACACATTCTACTTCGGGATGTAATCGAAGGTCGATCCTTGTAACGAGCTATTCTCAAAGGACGATGGTCATCCGTTAATAACTACAACGATTCTACTCCGGTCACGCTGCGGCGATGGCTATCGAAATTAGATAGAAAATTGCCTTCGTCTTATTCGAGTCTTGGTCGAAGGTTTCATTAAATTCTTTGAGAGATGCGGAATCGATAGATTCGCTGGATGCTATCGGACGGTACATCGATATTGCCAGCAGCTGCTGATCGATTAAGCGTGGAAGGAAAAACAGGTACGCGCGAAAATAAAACGACAGGATCTGAAAATTAATACCGAACTTTTCTTTCGCGGCGTTGCGAGACCAAATGTAATTTCGTCGGTCGTTTAAACGCTCCCGCGGAAAACACGGAAAGTGAAGTGTACCTCATTAAATCCGTGCCGATTCTCTCCAGCTTCCTTCATGACCTTTTCTCGCCGGGGCTCTGATTTATGGTCCACCTCCTCACCCGTTCGCCGTCGCTCCGCGCTCTCCTGGAAAGCCGACAACATTATTCGCAACGTTATTCAGTTACAATTTCTCATGTCAAGATAAAGAATATCTAGTTGGCTAAGGTAGTATAATAATTAATGTGTGCCGCAGATAATGAAACACCCGTTCGATTAATAATCGTCACGCGGTTTTTCATTTCGTCATCATTATTTTTTTTTTTTTGCTAATAACACGTCGTAATTATTTTAAACTTTTTAAGGGAAATTTTAATAGACAAACATTTTAAAGTAAACTTTCTGAAATTAAAAATTCTTTTCAAAAAAAATTACTACGATGGTTCTTTTTTTCAAAGATATTATATTTTTTATTGTGTAAAAACGTTGATTGGTGAATTCGATTCTTCAATTTCTATACCTGATTTGCTTATTCCTGACATTTAATTTCTATGTGCTTCTGAGTAGATTACTTGATATCTTTTCTATTTTATATATTTGAAAAAACTAGATTTGAAATTTAAAAAGATGAAAAAAATTAAAAAAGCGCCATATAGTTGAATCGGCCGAAGTTGAATCTTGATGTTCGATACATATAATAGAAATAAAAACAACTATTATTATTGCAATTTATATGCCAAGAGAAATCTTTGTAGTTTTACTTTATCATACTCATTCATTCCATATCTTAATATTTATTGACTGGAATCCACTCTCAATATATTACTTTCATTTCTAAACTTATCTACTTACTTTTATTTATTACTTACTTTTATCTAAACCTATTTTTATTTAAAGTTGCAAATATTTCTTATCCCATATATCATAATCTTTTTAACTGTACTTCTCACACTATGTATATATACTTCTCACTTTATAGTTGATATCACAAATATCTTGGCACAATTTTCACGCAAAAATACTAGTTTTTTTCTTCGTATGTGATTAATAATATTGTATTTGTATGTAAACAAATCATTTAAATACATCTTTAGTGTTATATATGCGCCGATTATCGGACTCGAAATGCTCGAAGCACAAACTGAAATATTAATATTATTAATAATGCTAATAAATATATTAAAACACTGCCAAGAACTTATTGTGAACAATGTTATCAACCAGGATTCGACCTCTCGATTAATCGGGCGTCTTTTCCGATTCAATCATCGTATGATGATATTTATCATAATAATCAATATGTACAAAGAGAGAAAGTATTGAAAGGCGGACGATATACTGAAAAAAAATGTACTAAATTTTTGCTTGAACAATTTAATTTTTATTATTTAAATAAATACTTTCTCAATAAAAAAATGATAATTAAATCAAATTAATAATTCTTGTACAAAAAAAATAAATATATGTTTACATTCAGTAAATATTCAGTTAATACAATTCGGTTCAAACAAATAGATAATAATTAAAATTTAATACATTTCTTCAGTGTGTAAACAATAATCAGGTAAAAAAAAATATATATATCATATTGCACGGAATTTTAGAGGAAAGGAAGGAAAAGAAAATCTCACGACCTTATTGAAAATATTGATAAAAACAGGAAAGTATGCGTGCATTGTCAGTGGAAGGAGGTTTGTAGGCCTGCGTCGATTACGATTGCATTTAATTAATTAACCGATGCACGCGGATTACTTCAAAGTCCCCATTACATAGCTCGTTGAACGGAAAGTATTTTTTAAAAACGGCGCTATTATATTGTCGGACGTGTTATTAATCGACGTAAGTACCCCTCGTAATTAGCTGAATAGCGTAAAATTCGTAATAATACGCTCACGCCAGGTAGCGTCCTGTGATTAATTACGGAAAGCTATCGACGCTTTACGTTTTCTGCGTCTTATATTTCTTTTATTCACCTATCTCGTATCTCGCGACACACGTGGATCGCTATTTCGCGCACGCGAGATCTCATACTGAAGTATACCCTCGTTAGAATCGTGATTTCGTAGAAGTACCGACTATTAGACCCGCAACTCGTCCGCATCTCCCGTCTCTTTTCCTCCTCCCTTTCTTCTTTTCTCACAAATATACTCGCGTTACGTTTCGTCTCTTTCGTTTCTCTACCTTATACTCTCCAAGCAGATCGTTACTAGGGTAGAAACATGAGTTTTTGCTAGTAAAACGAGGTGGAATGCGTGGCGAGGCAGCGTCAATGGATCCATAAAATCGCTCCGCGAGTTTGGATCCAGTTATGACTGCACGCGGTGTAAGATGAAAAAGAAGACGTCGGAAAGGTATTGTCGGAAGAAAGTCCACGGTGGAAAATCATAGCGAATTCGCGGCTGCCAGGCGACGCGTGTATTTATTCTAATGAGAATAATATGCCGTCTGGAGAAATTTCTAGCTCCAGAAAAATATTTCTCGTTCGAAGAAAAACATCCTGTAAATTTTACCAAGATAGCTAAAAAGTCTCTCCTATCTTTTAATTAATGATAGAAGTCCCATGATTTCTCTCCTTAAAACTAGTCGTGATGGCAACATTGCGTCAAATCGTAATCTAAAATCTAAAAGTACCCGAGAGAGATCCACGGATGTATAAGTTCTTGTTTTCTCGTTGCAGCAATGCCAGTCGTTGAAGAAGGAAAACCGAAGGTTGCAGAGCGCCTTCCTGCAAAACGTCTTTCTTCAAGCGCGAGTCGACACGCTCCAATGGCAGGTCAAACAGGTTCGTAATCGCACGATAGCTGAAGATCAGTAGAAGAAGCGATCGATAACGTGGCCAACCGGTTTACCTCGCTCCGGTTACTCGATATCGCGACACGTAACAACTGATCGGCATACGATTAGCTATTTTTCCTCTTTGATGATCCATGCGATTTTCATCCCGCCGAATTTTTTGTGTTCGTCCATTATCATTTTATGAATGAACTTACATATACACACGTGCTATACAGTGCATCTTTCGATCAAATGCTGTCAATTTCAAATACACTTTGATAGCATCTTAAGTGGTAGAAAAAGAGTATTATGACTTTATAATCTATTCCCTTAATTGAAATAGTTTTATTTATTTTTATATAATAAAAAGAGTTGTAATTTGTCTGTGATATTTGGGGATTTTTGTATTTTCTCGCTAGAATTTTTTATAGAATGTGTCAGAAAATGTAATACTCTGAAAAAATCTAAATTTATTGATATTGTGCGAGATTCTGAAAATAGACTATTAATTTCGTAATTGTTAATTTCCTCAAGTTGTAAAAGAAAAGTATTATTAAGACATTTTAATCTACCTTCTTGATTGAAATAGTTATTATTAATATTTTTATGTATTTTTTTATATAATAAAAACAAGTTGTAATTTGTCTGAGATATCTTGGGATACTTCTATTTTACGTTTTCTCGTCGGAATTCTTCATGGAACGTCAGGAAGTTTAATATCCTTTGAAAAAAAAAAAACAGAACTAAAACTCCATCGATTATATCATGCACGCAAGAGATTCTAGAAATAAATTAACTTCAAAAAACTATCCACATTACTGTCTTTACTCTTTTTTCTTTTTTGTGGATGTTATCTTTTAATTATAATTTGCAAATCAGATTATTTTTTAAACAATATTATTAATAAAGGAGAATGTATTGTGGTCCCCCCCCCCTTTCCTCTATTACGTGACAATAATTTTGTTATCGATCAATTTTGCAGGTCGAATCGAACAGGCAAATGTATCGTTCTACGATGGAACAGGTGGCTCATTTCTTGGGCCGGGCTCACAGGAGCCTGGAGATCCTGCATGCCAAGGAAAATTCCAAGGACAAGAGACGTGTGCCACGTAGCCGCAGCGTGCACACGGTGATGCACGCGGATCCATCGCCAAGTCGCGGAAACGCAACGCCATCGTCCTCGTCGACATCCTCGCCGTTCACACGCGCCAAATCGGTCACACAGATCAGTTCGCCAAGCCCTACCTGCTTCCGCGAGTTCACCTGGTCGGTTCTGCGAAGAAACGACCCGGTGCACTGTACAACGCCACGTGTTAAGCCACCGCTGGATCTCAGTAAGACGAACGACGTTCCCGATAACGTCGTTTATCGCGAACCCAAGCAGACAGAACTGAACCCGGATGAGATACCACCGGAGAAGTTGTCTCAGGAGGCGTTTAGGTGCGTGAGAAAGATTTCATGATCCCAAGTCCGTAAATCGAATTATTGACTTGCTACTATTAACATTAATTACCCAGTCAGTCAAGTCTGTTAAAAGAAATATTGTCAAATGTTTGCAAATTATCGATAAAAAGACACAGAATTTAATACACCTATATACTTCCATTATATTCCTTAGTTAACAAATTGGTAGGCAAAATCCACTGATGTAACATAAGAATAAATTATTAGAAAAATCGTGCAAAGCTTGCTGACAACCTGATAGCAAATTGATAGAATCGATTAAAACCAAGATAGACCAAAGTTTCACTCGGTTTTTACTGACATTTTGCTGTATGGTTATGTGTGCACGCTTTGTTAGAACACTACCAGAATTGTCACCAACTCTGAGCGAATTTGATATCAATTTAGCGACAATCAATTGCTATCAATTTGCTTACTGGGTATCTTTGTCTTAATTAAGTTAATAATTATGTATATTATTATTTTCGCATTATTAAGAAAAATTAATGTGTTAAATTTGTGAAATATTTCTACAGGTTATTGAGGACCGTCGAGTCCTTGCTGTCGATGCGAGAGCCCGATTTAGCGAGAATGACGCCGGTCGAGGAAAATGGATCTCCTTCTCCTACGGTGGATCACCATCGTCATCATGACACGTCTTTCTCCCTATCGAGCAGTAACTTCGCCAATTCGACAACCTTACAAGAAGCCACAGTCTCTTCTGGATGCTCCAATAGTAGTCGCGGAAACGAATCGAGCAGCGGTCATCAGGACGACAGTAGATCGTCAAGCCTCGTCAAAACGTCTGTCATCGAGTTTACCCGAAATTTGCAGAGCTTCGTACCGAATGTGAGAAGGTCACCTGACACTGCCTCCTGGAACTCGAGTAGCAGTAAAACGACAGAAGAGGAGGACATTCTCGCGCTTGCCGCGTCATCAAATGGAGTCACGTCCAACGGTACACCAATTTCGACGCTCAGCAGGGCTACGAAGCGATTAGAGAAGAAAGAATCAACAGGTCTAGCTGGTAAACCTAAAGTAAAACCGGCCAGCAGTCCGGTGAGCAGCGCCGAGGGCGAAAGTGGATTCTTCTCGATCAGCTCCTTCCAGGAGGTAGGCCTACCTGCTTCGGCAACCCTATCGATCACGCCGATGAAAGGCTGCCACACCGAGGTAGGTCTTCCGGAAGTGCCTCTAGACAAGACTAGGCATCGACGGTGGTCCTCCACACCGGCGGAGATTCAGGCGCTCTTCAAACAGCATCGAGCAAGCATCGGCGGCATGCCGCAAACCACCACTGAGTCCGTCAGCGTTTGTTGGGTTTGAGTGTCGCGGGTGCCGCGCCGATTATGATCCCACCGCAAACAATCGTCATGGTTTTAGTCGGATCTCGCAGACTAGACTAACTCGGACCACGAGCATGATTTTCAGGAATAATACTTAGATAAATCGATAGAAAATATTCATACGGAAAGGACGGTTCTGTTGAAATGTTTAAAAATTTAGCTCCATATAGATCTGAAAATAATTTTATTAAACCAAAATCAAAATAATTATGTAGGACGTTTAAGATGGTTGCTGAAATGCTAACATTTTTTTTTGCAGCATTATTTAACATACTTGAGATTTCTACGTGATTATTTTGATGATTTAAGAAAATTATTTTCAAATCTGTGTCTAGCTAAGTTTTTAGATATTCCAGTAAATAGTTCTTTCCGTGCAGTAACTTTGTAAATAATTTCTTACGCAGTCGCTTCTTTCGTTACGTTGATAAAATATGTAGAACAATAGTGATGAAGCGATCGATAATAATTGCGATTCGTTCGATCGCTCCGATAAGATGACTTAAGGTACATGAAACGTTGTTTCGTTGCTACACGGTACGATACCGATGCATGCAATTTGTTAAACTTTCTTATAAGAAAATTATTTATCGGAATGTATTAACGAAAATAAAAAGCCGTATAAAGAAAATAAGAATTGATATACGCGTGCGTAACTGAGCAAGTTTCGTAGATGCGGCCATTCTAAGTATAGAAAAGAAGGGATAATCCCGACATTTTGCAATCAGCCATATTTCTTGTAGTTTCATTGTATGGAAAGAATGCTTTTGCTAAATTATTTAAAATTTAGCTAAATGCCGATCAGAAAATAATTTTGTGGACCATCAAAATAATTGCATAGAAAGTGGATTGCTAAATCATCAAAACATTGTTTATTACGCTTGAAAGTCCAATATAGTTATTTTAATGGTCCAACAAAATTATTTTCACACCTCTATCTGGCTAAATTTTCAGACAGCAAAACTATTTTTTTCACTGATATTCCGTATTTATTAATAACGATGAAACTTCTACCCATCCCTGCAAATGTACATATCGCGCGATTATCGATGATTTCGTGCATGACAATGATTTTGTTCACCAGAACGGGCAAGTTTAAGAAATCTTTGAGTACATTTTGCAATTGACAATTGATCATTCTCATTTGACCATTATTGATTAATTAGGCATTATTAACAAATTAATTATTTTTCGATTCGAGTTAATTTGATTCAGTTCGAATATAAAACTATAAAGCGAGTTTTATATTAGGTGTTGGAATTAATTCGTAGCGTTTTTAAATGAAAGAATGTTATTTATTTCACATGAGCATTAAAAAATACATTAATGAAAGTACTTCCCATCACTTGTAAAACGCTACGAATTAATTCCAACACCTAATAATTTATACTAATATATGGCAATGTAGTTCAAGTTAGTGTAATTCGATCTATTAGATGCGTAACAATTTAGATTCGGAAGAATGCAGAAGAGAAATTCTTTATCTTAATCGATCAATCGGAATCTGCTGCAAATGTTTTTCTTTTGTTAAAATTGTTTCTTACTATATTTTTGTTATTCTTATGTATGTTAACAGCAGTGCAAAATATTTTCAATCCAGCTCCTGTTTGTATCTAATTAAAACTAATTATTCGCATGATTATTTCATTTGATATCGTTAAATTTATGACGTAACACTCAATTTTTAGAATTTTTTAACACTAATGGACGCAATTATAATTTTTACGTTTGATTATATGATTATATAATCTAATTCGCGAGGACATATCTTTTAATGTAATAAAATAACACGATCTGAGACTATCATACATAGTTCTAGACTTTACAATATTGCGTTCTCTACATATTCTTCATGATGTGCGTAATTTGTCATTTTCATTCGTAATTATATACAACTGAATATCATGTCAAAACGTCTTATTTCATTTCCTATCTTATCCTATCGCTTTCTCACAATCTGCATTTATTATTATACTTTAATATAACTATGTATTATATGAAAAATATATATTTAAGATTTCTGCATGTGGAATAATTCTTACAAAAGTTGTAGCATATATTTTAAAAAAATTAATACAAAAAAAGTGTATAAGACCATGAATAATTATAAAATTGCAGTTTTTACTTCTTTTTCCCGTATATTTAATTTTAAAGAAATGATTTTTTTATGTCCTATAAATATATACAAATTATATAATTTTCTATTCTAGAGTAAAATCTCAAATTTGCAAACATGTCTTGTTACAAATTTTCTAATTTTTTATGTCTTTTTAACGAAAAAATGCGTTGGAGTTTATACTATTTGATACAATTTAAGTGAAATAGTTACTGCTTATATTCCTTTTTTTTAAATATTAGATAATCTAATAATATTAGATTATCTAATAAGTTTTTATATTCTTTATTTAATTAGGATGCACTATCGCTCACAAGAATACATGCCTATTTCGCGATTTATCTACGTTGAAAGGATAATAAAGAGAAACACAAAAAGGCGTAAAGAAGAATAAACTATCAATTGGACAATATATCAATCTCATTATAAATTAAGTAATACATTATCTTGAAAAAGAAGTCACAGTGTAAAAAAAAAGATGATACGCATACCTACATATTACACACATACATAACTGTTAATTATCTTAAAATCATATTTAACCGCAATCTCTTTGCAAAGATATTTCTCAATTTTTTAGGAAATACACGTACATTGATCATTACTTTTGTGATACTACTATAAATTCCGAGTACGATGTATTTCAATTCTAATTTTCCTCCCGCTGAGTGAGCAAGGTTCCATATTGGTGCTACCATTGTGAGGGCATAAGTCACGTGCACCAATCATGCGGAATCCCGAATGTCCAGATTCTCTTCTCTAGGGACTCTTTAATGAACTTAGTGATAGTGCCATCATGCTCCTTATTCAAGAACTAAAATATCAATCATGTCACGTAATCAATTCAAAGAATCAATAATCGAAGTTTCTGTCATTCATATGCAAAATATTAATTTTATAAAATTAAAAATTAAAAGATATATAAAATGGGTTATTGTTATGAAAATTATATGAAAATTATATGAAAAAAATATTAATATAATAACGTTTATTATAATATTAATTTAACATTTAAAATTTTACGTTTACGTTTGTTATACGCACTTATGTTTTTTTTTTATAACAAATTATAAAATCTGTGTTGTAATAAAAGTAACTTTTATTTTTAACTTTGTTGAACTATCGAAATAATTGTGTAGAACGCTTAAATTATGCTAGTTACTTAATAGAATATCAAAATTCTTTGCAGCATTGCTTATTATGCTTGAGATTCCTACATAATTATTTTGATTGTACAATAAAATTATTTTCTGATCTGTATAGGGAATTTTTTAATATATCAGGAAAATCATTTTCTCATTATTTTTAAAGGTTGGTATAATGTTAAATAATATTGTTTATTATAACATCTATTTAATATTTATAACATTATGTTTACATTTATATTACATTTTAATGTTATATGTACATGTTTTTTATATTTCTAATTTTTCCTTATCTGTGTTTCATTTTTAAATTTGATAAAATTATTTTCTTGTACTATGAAATAATAGCGCAATTATTACAGCGCCAATTCCCATTAACCGATTGTGTTATTTATTTGCATTTATGAATATAAATAAATATACACAATAAAGATAAAGACGTGTATCTTTTATAGTTAATGAATTCCAGCATTAAAACTGATCATAAGCGTATTTAGGATTGTTTTTTTGGAAAGAATTTTTATCAAATCTGTTATCACATAAAAATAATTTCGGTAAAAGGATCCTTCCGATTAGGGGACTCAACCCCAATGATCTTGACATATGTCGTTGACCCTGATAGGTCATCGCCTCCAACAGGTTTTAGCTCTCGCTCGTTATTCGATAAAAAGTTATTAACAATCAAAGTTAGTAATTTTTTCCCTGTTTTACATGAAGAGTTAGATAACTTTAGACAGAAAGAAAGGTATGAGGTGGACGAATTCAAAAGAATACAACTTTTCACACAAAACGACTTTCATCCCATCTCCCACCCAGCCGAAGGGCGCGCTACATATATAGTATGCTGAGTTTGGATTTGTAGGATCGCTAATTATAGCCCAAATGAAATTTTGCAAGTCAGTTGTCTCTGCGGATTATAATATATTATATCATTTTACTTTCTGGCACAAGAATATTTGAAACGTTTCGAATTTCATACAAACAAAATATTATTTTCTTTACGCGATAAAACAGACGCTATAGCCATCTAGTAGGAGGACAGAAAGTTGCTGACAGCAGCCAGATGTACATTGCCGTATCTGACGGCATTTATCATACGATAGGAGCTCCAATTATCTTATCTATAAATTTCTAGATTAAATGAGTTAATGTGCTAAGTATCTTCCACTTGTGCACTGATAACTTTTACATTAAAATAAGTCACATTTAGAAAAAGTTTTTCTTCCAAATAACCAAGATTCTAGGGATCGATATCTTATAGATATAAATATAGCTAGACATAAAAGAATTAAGTTCATCCAAATGACAATTTGAGTCATCAATTAGATCAATTTGAGAGTTTTTAATATTTATCTATTTATTTAGATTGGTATGATGTTAATTTAAGTTGAAAGCTGATTATCAAACATTTGCCAAATAGGAGCACTGTAGCGTTGGAAATAAGAAATTACTCAATCGACATCAAAAAGATCAAAAACCAATTGACATAACATTTATATAATGTATAATTTCGCATTTAACAATTTGACTATTATGGACCATATGTTGTATACATTACATGCATACTTATTATTGAAATCATGACATAAATGTTATTACTTTTAGTATCGACTTTCGGATATTATTGTTAAAACTCCATTTAATATTTATATTCATATTATATTCATCAACAGAAATTTATGGCAGAAGCACATTATGCGCATGACAATATGTCCGATTACTAGACGAGCCAAGGCTATCGAATTTCATGCGCTGTTTTAAAGAATCATTTCTGGTTGAAATCCGGATCAGATGATCCTAACATTCCGGATGACTCTAACATCCGTGAAGACTTTCGATTCTTTTATCGGAACTCATCGTAAAAGTCAGCTCAACAGCGGCACGTATCTCGTAGATGCATCTACACGTATATCATCTACACATGTTACACATATAACATACAATGCCTCCGTCCTTCCGCTGTTATGGCGCTACCATTCCTTCTTGTCGAACCTTTTCGCCAAGATTCGCCAGGATCTGATAACACCGCCTAATCGTTCCGATAGCGTCGACTTACTTAACAAATTATTGCGTGAAAAGTCGTCGAGCGATCGAACAGCAGAACTCGGTAGCGATCGTTGTCGGGCGTTCTGGCGCGATGCGGCTCGACGCGGCGCCGCGCTGCGGATCGCGCTAATGCGGGATCGCGCGGTGAGAAAGCGGGTGCGCGATTGCGCGCGCAAGTATTTGATAACGCTGAGGTAGGCAAGGCATGAGAGCTTGGGTGCTCGTTATCAGTGCGGCAGGCGTCGGCAGGCTTGAAACGGCACTCGGGCCACCAGTCGGCCAGGAGATCCCGCCCCCAGGCGGGCCCCCTTTAGATTG